AGAAGCTCATGAAGCTCCATAAACAAAAACACAGAAGGCTCAACGATCAACAACCAGCTCAGTGAATCCTTGGACAATGACTTTAATAACACCACATGAGATGTAACAGTTTTCACAAATTTTCCTTTGTTGGACTATTTTTTTAATTCCATTTGCCCTTTTGTTGTAACAAGGAATCTAAAATAAATTATTGCATGTCTGCTAAGGGGGCAGGCTTTGAAAATGTGTGGAAAACTGGGGACAGTGGTGGAGGGAAGGTCACACTGGTGGTGGGATTGGTGTTGGGACACTAAATGCCCAAAACAACTTTATTATGAACAACTTTGTAAATCACAGTGTTTAAATAAAGTTACAAAGAAAAAAAAACCCATAATCAAACTCACAGTAACTTGAAGACATTGTAAGCTGATTCTATTTTGCTCCTGGCGTTGTCATGCCAAAGATCTGTACTGTAAATAGACCAACCCTGGAAGAAAATCCTACCCAGCATTCAATCTATTGTTAAGAAATAAATGGTGTTTCCTTGTGTGAAACAAATCCACAGGATTAGAGTACTAGAGATAATTCTTTTACCTGTAGGTAAATAATTCTTGGGTAATTAAAACCGAAAACAGTTTAAACCATACTCCAACCAGCAAAAACTAAAGTAACCATAGAGGCAAAAAAGCAACAAGATTTTTTAAAATAACATGGTTAGCTCCTCCCTGTTAACCTTCAAAGCTTTAACCTAAAATTTCCCTCCTCCCAGTCTGCTTTGACTCCAAAAGATAATTCAGAAGGATGAAAAGCTTATTATATGGGATATAAAGAAGCATAGTAAGGGAATAACAGAAGGTGAAAAGCAACAGAACCTAAAAACTGGGCCACAGAACTGAACTCACCATGGCAGCGAGACATGGGGTTTGGAAAGGAGAAGGAGGGCATTGAGAGGAAGGAGTTAAGAGGGAACCAGAGAACAAAGGAGGTGGGAAACACACACACTGGTGGAATTGGAATATTGTATTAATGAAACTCTAACATTGGGATATTGTACTCATGAAACCCTAACGTTGACGTTATTGTATAATTGTAAATAAGAGTGACTAAAAAATTTTTTTTTCAATTTTTTAAAGCTGTGGGCTAGAGCACAGCGGGTAGGGTGTTCACCTTGCATGCGGCCGACCTTGGTTAGATTCCTCTGTCCCTCTCGGAGAACCCAGCAAGCTACCGAGAGTATTCCACTGGCACAGCAGAGCCTGACAAGCTCCCCGTGGCATATTTGGTATGCCAAAAACAGTAACAAGTCTCACAATGGAGACGCTACTGATGCAACTGGAGACGCTATGGACGATGAACAATGGGAGAACAGTGCTATAGTGCTATTACAGGTAAAAGGTAAAGGTAAAGGCCCTCCCGTTGATCGTCGATTTGCTCGAGCGGGCCCAGTAACGTCTCCATTGGAGACTTTGTTGTTACTGTGTCTGGCATATCGAATACTCTCGGTAGCTTGCCGGGCTCTCCGAGAGGGGCGGAGGAATCGAACTCGGGTCGGCCATGTTGGCCGAGTGTAAGGTGAACGCCCTACCCGCTATAGTGCTATTACAGGCCTTGATAATACCCAAACAGAAAATTCTATCTCAGAATAACTCAAAAAGACTGTTTTCTGTTTCACAGTCGGTCTTAACTGGCCAAATATCCCAGTACTATGAATGAATCCATCTCCTGAGCTCAAACAGAATTTCCACATTTGCACCGAAATCACAACAACAAAATGATCATCTTGATTGAAAGGTTGGGAAGGAGGATGCTTTGCAGTGGTGAAACATCAGTCAAGTTTGGATGGTACTTTGGCAGCCAGGGGGAGAGGGGGTAAGAATAAGGAGAGAACGACAGATGAGGGATTAACAAGCAGGAGAGCTGTGGACAAGTCAGATGATACCGTGGCATGATCTCCTTTGGCCTGAACTGAGCTTGAGGCTGGTCCCCTTCCAGTCACCAGCACGAGGATGCAGCTCTGAACCCAGCAGTCAGTCATGCCAGAGGAAGCAGCATAGAAGGAACAACAACTCCCTGAGTCCTGATTATCAAAAGGCAATAGCCAACACAGCAAAACCAACCTCCCATGCTGTATTCAGGGGGGCGGCTCTCTGGAACCGCCGGATTGCAAGAGCCAGTGGTGTGCCAAGATACAGAAATCACTGGTGATTTGTCCAGAAAAGATCATAACCTAAAGATGAAAGTCTGGAAAGATCAATTAGCTCGATTTTATTCCCCCTTTCTTCCCTCCTTTCCCCCAAAGAGGCCACTGCCCCCTTTTGCAGAAAATTCAGTACTTCCTTCTCTCTTCATTTAAAAAAAAATTCATCACCATCAAATTAAAAATATTCATGACTGCAAGGATATTCATGATTTGGTTTCAGGCATCCACTGTTTCAACACCAATCCCTTCAGTGTCCGCCTCCTCCACCAATGCTCCTCACCCACATTTGCCTCCCACCCACCAGTGAGAGGCACTGCTGCACTGTGGTGTACAGTACGGTTACTGATAGGGTTTAACGGGTAACATTTGACCACCTTTTGGCACCTCCTCCCCCCTGAATGCTTCCTCCACCATAAGTGTTGCCCACACCCCCAGCCCCCTCAGGCAACTTATTTCCTACTGAATACGCTTGCTCAAGTTCTTTGTTTCCATTGTCTTTGGGTATTAATTGCTCCACTATTACGCTACTTTATATATCCCACATTTGACAGAGATCATTCTGTCTAGGTCTCTCTCTCCCCCTGACTAACATCATGCGTCATGAGACTCTCTGGTTCCCTCCATGTAGTAGCAAATTTCATGATCTTAGTAGCCATGTAGTATTCCATTGTGTGTATATACCATAGTTTCCTTATCCAGGCCTCAATTCTTGGGGACTTGGGTTGTTTCCAGGTTTAGGAATATTGTGGATAGAGCCATAAGGAACATAGGTATGCAAATGTCTTTTCTCCGTTCTGTTTCTGGGACTTTGGGGTATATTCCAAGGAGTGGAGTTGCTGGGTCAAATTCCTAGTTTTTTTAGGAATGTCCATATTGGTTTCCAGAAAGGTTGACTCTGTCAACATTCTCACCAACAGTGAATGAGACTTTCTTTCTCCCACCATCCACTCCAGCACCAGTTGTTCTTGTACATTTTGATGCGTGCCAAGTCTCTGTGGTGTGAGATATCTCATGATGTTCTGATTTGCATCCCCCTGATGATTAGTGATGCAGAAATTTTTTTCATGTGCCTTTTGGCCATCTATATTCTTTGAGGAAGTGTCTGTTAATTTCCTCTCTCCATTTTTTGATGGAGTTGGATTTTTTTCTTGTAAAGTACTACCAGCGCCTTATATATCTTTAATAGTAACCCCTTATAAGATGAGTGGTGGGAAAATAATTTCTCCTATCCCATGGACCGTCTTTGTATCCTGGTGATCATTTCCTTTGAGGTGCAGACGCTTCTTAACTTAATGTAGTCCCATTTGTTTGTCTTTGCTTCTACTTTCTTGGTCAGTGGAATTTCATCCTTGAAGATGCCTTTAGCTTTAATGTCATGGAGAGTTCTGCCTACACTTTCCCCTATGTGCCTTCTAGATTCAGGTCTGATATCAAAGTCTTCAATTCATCCTTATTTGACTTCTGTGCATGGCATTAGGAAGAGGTCTGAGTTCTTTTTTCTTTTTGCATGTAGTTGATTAGTTTTCTCAACACCACTTGTTGAGGAGGCTTTCTTTGCTTCACTTCATATTTTTTACTCCCTTATCAAAGAGCCTGGCAAGCAACCGAGAGTATCTCGCCCGCACAGCAAAGCCTGGCAAGCTACCCATGACATATTCAATATGCCAAACACAGTAACAAGTCTCACAATGGAGATGTTACTGGGCCCACTTGAGCAAATCAGTGAACAACGGGAGGACAGTGTTACAGTGCTATCAAAGACGAAAATGATCATTTAATGATCTGTCTCATTTAATGAGGGTTTGTCTCAAAATTAAATTCTATTCTATTCAATCCTATTACTTTTGTTTGAAGGTTTGTCTTTATTCCAGAACCATGCTATTTTAATTGTTACCACTTTGTAGTAAAGTTTGAAGTTGGAGAAATTTGAAGTCAGAGAAATTGATGCCTTCCATATTATTTTTCCTAAGGATTGCTTTAGATACTCTGGGTGTGTGGTGAGGACTCTTGTTCCATATAAATTTCAGGGGTGTCTTACCTATTCTTTGAAAAGTGATATAAGTATCCTCGTAGGGATTGCACTGTACAATGCTTTGGGCAGTATTACCACCTCGGTGATAGTAATCTTTCCAATCCATGAGCAAGGGATGTGTTTCCATTTCCTTGTGTCCTCTTTTCTTGTCATTTTCTCCTCTTTCAGCTTCCTCTGCTGGATTCCAGGATGGCCCTTGAGAGGTTCTCCTTTCCCCATCTCTTGAGTGTCTGCCTTAGATGGGGTATAGTAGGTAGTTCGGCTGCAAAGACCGACAACACTCAGCCTCCCACTTCTCCCCACAGGTCCCCAGTCCTGGACTGTTCCATAGTTGGTTTCTGCTAAAGTTCAGAAATCAGTGCTGGTCTGTGCTCTCATCCCTCTGGGGTCCTTGAAAGTCCTCCGTCCCCCATCCTCCCTGCCCCAGCTCTCTCTGAAATCACTCACAACCAAACGGAAAAGGCTTTAATGAGAGGGAGGAGGGAGAGAGGAAGGGAGAGAGAGAGAGAGAGAGAGAGAGAGAGAGAGAGAGAGAGAGAGAGAGAGAGAGAGAGAATGTGGTGGTGGGGAGAGAGAGAGAGATGAACCAAGTAACAGATAAAACAGGAGAAGCCACAAATAAGATTATAAAAGAACACACTGCTGAAGTGACCTGGGTCGGGGTTAACTGGGAGTTTAATGCTGCCTTCTTCCTGTGCCCCTGATTTCTCCAATTTGGTGCAGGGCATGGATTTTCACTGACCTCTGTCCTTGCAGTTTCTTGCTGAACCAAAATTATTTACTACTTACTTGGGCTTGCTTGCATATTTTAAAAGGCTGAAGTGTCTCTTGGTAGAAGAGCTGATGATAAGCCTGGAGATCAAACCAGAAGTACACGCTGTTCTTCCACAACTGTGGATGAGGAAAACACATGAATTACCACCACCCCATCCAGGAAGCTCAGCAAAGCTCTCATTTCAAACATAAATAATGGCTTAGTTCCTTAGTGTTGCTGTAAATCAGGCTCAATTTAAGAGAGGTCATCTATCATCACAAATGGGCAATGTACAATATATTTCTTGATACCGTCACTCAAATATTAAAGTTTTGCTTTAATTAAATGTATGGCTCTCACATAATTGGTCATTAAAATAGTAAACATACTAGTTAGTGGTTAAAGGTAGCACATATTTTTGGCACTAGATCAAAATCTGAAGGTACTTTGCTATATCTGGACAAAAGAACATCAAAGCTGAACCCCACACATGGGACCCCTTAAATACTTTTCATTTTAGCACAATGAAGGCCATTTGTGGTAATAACCTAGGAAGCTGAAGATCGGTTGGGGGAATGGCACAGGGCTCAAAGGGCTGGAGCACACTCTTTGTACACGGGAGCCCTGGGTTTGATCCCTGGCCTATGACTCCACCCCTACCCCCACCAAGAACTTCCAGGAGCAACCTCAGGGCATTGAAACTTCTGAGGGAATATCTTCTGAGCACTTCTGGATGTGACTCCAAAGTTTAACAATAATTTTTAATACATAAATTGCTGGAAACGTATTTGCCACTACTTGCTATTATTTGTAATTGTTTGAGTTATATAAAAATCCTTTCTGAATTTAAAATAAAGAAAGGGGCCCAAGGATGTGGCTCACGGATGCAAGCACAGGCGCAGCATTTGAGCTTGATCCCAGCACTACCCGCCTCTCACCCCCCAGTCCCACTGGGCATGGGCTCCCAATACTAGTAAAATAAAATAGATTACGCTGAAAAGTAAGTTATATGAAAATTAACCATTGATAAAAATGGAAGCAAATTCCTTACCGGTGTTTGACTTCTCTTAGTCATTTTCTTATGATAGTGAACTAAGGAAAGGTAAAGGTAAAGGCCCTCCCGTTGATCATCGATTTGCTCGAGCGGGCCCAGTAACGTCTCCATTGGAGACTTTGTTGTTACTGTGTCTGGCATATCGAATACTCTCGGTAGCTTGCCGGGCTCTCCGAGAGGGGCGGAGGAATCGAACTCGGGTCGGCCATGTTGGCCGCGTGCAAGGCGAACGCCCTACCCGCTGTGCTATCGCTCCAGCCCTATGATAGAGAATTATACTTGAGCTGTTTACATTTCACAACATATTTAGAGTGACATTTCTATACCAGAGGAGGTAGAAATGTTAACACCAAACACTATTGTCTAAGACTTCTCTTGCTATAAAATGGAGTTAAAACAAAGCAGAAGCATCATTTGAAGTATTTTTTCTACCTTGTTCCCAGTATCTTCGCAGAATTTAGTAAAGAAAAATCCAGCTCGAGTTTCTACATACAAAGACTGCAACAAATTCTCCATGTTAAATCCTCCAAGGGCATCTTCCACCAAGGTTTTAGCCTGGAGAACAAAACAGAAGGCCATTATCCACCCTGAAACACAGTCCCTTGTTTTGTTGTTGTTGCTCTTTCTTTCTTTCTTATGGCCTTGCACAACCATGCTTTCTCCTGAGACCTGGAGGCTGTCCTTTGCACACTGGGTGATTTTATTTGTAGGCCTACATGTAATCAAGGCAGTCTGCTTGCATCTGACTGTCAGATAAGATTCATTTCTGGAGCCAAGGCAGAGACACTCTATGGGAAACCGGCCTGATTTCAAAGTGAACGCTGAAGAGACTTCCCAACCTCAGTTATCTGTGTGATACTGCAGGAACAGTGATAGCATTTCCGGAGACTGCCAAATCTCTGTTGGTGGGCCTCCATCCTCCTCCCTGACTGTTTTTTTTTTAGCCTTGAGGAGCTGCTATCATAGCAACAAGGGAGTTATAAAAAGGACTCACTCTCCCCGAGACTCACCACGCTGCTCATTAACTGTCCCAAGGGGCATTTCCCTCTGGACAGGTCATGGTCCACTGAGTCTAGGAGGCAGCAGAAGTTCCCATAAAACTTTGCCGTTCGTGGGCTGATCTGCTAATGGTGCTGGCAAGCCTCCTCTTCCTCAAACACAGAACGCTGGCAAACTCTCCAAGCCCAAGATGGACTCCAAAATATGAAGGGGGACCTCTTCATTCACATAACTCTATGCTATTTGGATTTTGCAACTCTGACTTCTTCCTCAGATTCAGAAAAATAGAGGGGTTGAAGAGATATTTCAGGGGTTAAAGTGCTTGCCTTGTACCAGGCTGATGTGGTTCAAATAAATGGTTGGTTCCCTCCTGTCACCTCCAGGGAGGGATAACATCTGGCCAGGAATAGCCCCAGAGCACCATTGAGTGTTGCCCCCCACACAAAAGAGAAACAAAATATGGAGCATGAGCAATTTAAGGGTTAATGAAAGTAAGGATCTTGCTCTCTCTTCATTGTACTGTCTCTCAGCACCCTTCCACTCACCTACTAATTAATGCTTTAATAGTGTTTAACCATTGGTGTTCTCCAATGGGGGGAGGGGAAAACCATTATTTTAGTGGGAAAAATACACTAATTGGAAGAAAAGGAGTACAGTTTGCTTAAAATAAGATAAATAGCTATACTAAATTATTTATAAGTGTTCAGATTGAATTGGGACTGCCAAGTTTTCTACTAAACATATTCGTTGATTGCCTCGAGCAGGCCCCAGTAACGTCTCTTTCATCCTAGCCCTGAGATTATATTCACGGCTCTTTAGGAGAATGAGACCCATCATTGTTACTGGTATTTGGCATATTTGGTGCGCCACGGGGAGTTTGCCAGACTCTGCCCTGCGGGCAGGCTACATTCGATAGCCTGCAAGTTTGTCCAGAGTAGGAATGAGATAATGAGATATCATAAAAAGATGTTCTGATAAGATGTCGCGCGGCCGCGAATGTGGCCGTGCGGTTCCGGGAGCTGCATTTTGTAGTCTCTGAGTCTTGGCCGTTGATGGGATTACACGGCGCCAGGGGGCCAGGTGGTGGGTGTGACCCCCGCCTACTGGAATTTGGAGGATCTGGGTGGAGGATGCTTGACTCCAATTCGAGTAGGCTTGGAGATCTCGGCCCCGGAACCCGCGTGGCTTTGTCCCTCTGCCAGTACCTTCATGTGTGCGGAGAGTGGTCTCAGCATGGTGGTGGCTGGTCCTGGAGGTCTTACTAAACATAATCCTTAACCAAAGAAAAGGCATGTATAGCCCATGGAGTACTACTCTAATATTTATGTTCATATATTTATTAAAAAGAAATTCTGTCATTTTCAACAACATGAATGGAAATAAGAGTATATTAGGTTCAGTGAACTAAACTGGAAGGAGAAACACACAGTATGATCTCACTGATCTGTAGTGCACAGGGAAATAAATAAGTGAACCAACAAAAACAAACATTCAGACTCTCAGACTAAACTAATGGTTACTGAACATAATGGAGGGAAGTTACCTTCAGTAGGGAACTGAGTCGCACTGTAGCACTGTCCTCCCGTTGTTCATTGATTTGCTCGAGCGGGCCCCAGTAACATCTCACAACAAATTGTGAAACTTGTTGTTACTGTTTTTGACATATCTAATACGTCACAGGTAGCTTGCCAGGTTTTCGTGCAGGCGAGATCCTCTCGGAAGCTTGCCATGCTCTCCGAGAGGGGCAGAAGAGTCGAACTCGGGTCAGCCATGTTGGCTGTGTGCAAGGCAAACGCCCTACCCGTTGTGCTATCACTCCCTCCCAGGGAACTGAGTAAAAGGGTTCTATTACGTGGTGAAGAACAGAACTACATTTTAAGTGGTGAACTATTTATAGAGCATATGCTGATTTAAAAAGATACACACCTAATACTTGGGAGATTTTATTAAGCAGTTGTACTTCAATTTAGAAAAGATACAGGGCTGGGAATGTAGCTCAGAAGGAAAATCGTAGGATTCCTCATACAGGAGGCCCCGGGTTCCATCCCCAGCACCCAAAAGCAAACAAACAAGACACAGAAGAATCTTGAGGAAATGTGTAGTTTCCATTTAGAACTGGTGTATTAAATCCAAATTATTAAAGCAATAAAAAAATAAAATTTGCGGCCACGCAACCTCTTATTGAATAGTTCTCACTCTCAGAGAACCCAGCAGGCCACCGAGAGTACCCTGCCCACATACATGCCTGACTGGGAGCACCTGTAAAGGTGATTAAAGGCTGCTCCAAATGCCTCCATCCCTCTCAGGGAGCCCGGCAAGCTACTGAGAGTATGCTGCCTGCACAGCAGAGCCTAGTAAGCTACCCATGGTGTACTCAATATGCCAAAAACAGTAACAATGATGGTCCTCATTCCCCTGACCCTGAAAGAGCCCCCAATATGCCATCGAGCTACACTAGCACGTGACGGGATGAATGGAGATATTACTGGCACCTGCTCGAGCAAATCGATGAACAATGGGGTGACAGTGATTGTGATATTAAAGCAAACACACTCTGCCTCTTAAAAATTCTCTCTCCGGAATGTAATAGCAAACACTTTTATTGAATATTAAAATTTTAGTAAAATTACTCGACCCTTTGTTTGTGTGTGCGCTGTCACCAGGCTGAAACGCAGACCACGGGTGGTTTAAAAGCAGAAATGGATGGAGGGCGGGATGACCTGGCTCTGTGCAAGGAAAGCCTATGATAGGTTTGCATCAAAATCCTTTAGCAAAGAAAATAAAATGTCTTGTTTAAAAGAAAAATATGATGACAGATCAATAAAAATGTTCTAGAATTGGCTTGATCTTCAATCCCGGGTGCCCTTTGAACACTCATCTTGCCTAATTCCTCTGTTCTCGTTTGCCGATTTCTACTCTGGAATAGCCTCTCAGACCCTTGTTCTCCCCTCACATCTTTCTGAGTAAGTTTCAATAAAGACTATCTTGATGAATAAGTTTATTTATTTTATAACAAATAAAATAAAATAGGTTTCAATAAAGATTGTCTTGCTTCATCAAAAAAAACCCCTAATTCACGAGATGTTTATCAGCCAAATTTATCTCAAAATACTTACCACATTTTCTTCCGTATAAGTAAATCTCCTTTCCAGCTGGGGCTTCAAGCACTCAGATATGTCGGTGAAAGATGTCAAATGAAAAATTCTGCTCTGTTCTGTTGTGTACCTGGGCCTGAATTACAAGGACGTGGAGTGATGGATCGGGAGGGGGACAGGGCCAGTCCCTGACCTCCCCCTCCCCAGGATGCCAAGGGAGCAGGGTTTCACGTACCCAGAAGCAGGCCTGGACGCCCCCCGAACAAAGCTTTCATAACAAAGCACCCCCAAGAGGCAGTACTGAGAAATTCTGAACAGGAAGAAACACCTCAAGGCCAGGGGGATTGGGGCAGAGGGTCTGAAGGTTTGAAACATCGCCCTGAGGCAGGCAGGGGAGTACTGTGATTGGGGTGATCTGCAGTGCCTCAGTCCTTCAACTTAACACAGTGGAGACCAGTCCCCAGGGTCTCCGGATTCAGGGCAAGTTAGAAACAGTCCCTGAACAGTAGGAAGCAGAGGGCAGAGGTGGGACCCAGAGCAGGACGCAGGACCACACACAGGGCTCAGAGAGAGCAGTGATGCCAGTGTGACAGTGGCCACTCACCATTTTGTAGAATTTGCCTAAGAAGCAAGAAAAGATGGGGCTGACTCGTGGGAAGGAAACGCCAGTGGGTGCCAAGCTGGTGACGTCGCCCAATCTCACTGAGAGGGCCATACTAGGCACCATCTCGGGACCCTCTCTCCCTGCCCTAGACCTGTGGGTCAGTTCCAAGAAGAGCGCAAGTCATCCCTGTGCTAACTCCGTGAAAATAATGCGCCCAGTGTACCCACTTAGCTCACGTCTGTAAGCGTAGCCTCCCAGCTCCATCCCCTCCTCCTGCTGGACAGGGCCGACAGGCCCCACACTACAAGGCAGCCACAGGCCATGGCCCCACAGCCCCCCCCCCCATCTCCCACTCAGTACACTACAACCACTGACCTTTAAAAAGAAACGCACCCAGTATAATAAGACACATACATAACACACCCACAACTAACATCTCACTCAATGGTAAAACACTGAAACTTTTCTACAAAGACCAGGAACAAGATATGGACTCCCCCATTCTGGTCATTATTGTTCTATATAGCATTGGTTTGAAGTTCCAGCCAAAGAAATTCAGCAAGGGGGAGGGGTAAAGGAGGAGAGAGAAAGGAGAGAGAGAGAGAGTGAGAGAGAGAGAGAGAAAGAGAGAGAGAAAGAGAGAGAGAGGCATCCAAATTGAAAAAAGAACAGTTAAATCTGCCAGTACCTATAGATGGCCTGCTATTACACTCCAAAAAAATCTAAAACCTCCAGGAAGAAACTGTGATAATAAATACGGTAAAAATGTCAGCTACCAAATGAAAATAGAAATATCTATTGCCTTGGGCCAGAGGGGTTAAGGTGCTTTCCTTGCCTTGCCTTGTATATGGGTTGACCCTGGTTTGATCCCCAACACCATAGGGTCCCTCAATCATCACTGGTGCATCCCTGGGGGGGGGGGTGCTCTGAGCACTGCCAGGCTGGCCAGGGTGCCAATCCCTGGCACACTCCCTAGCTCTTTGGGTCCCCCCCGCTGGAAGAGTTGGTCATACCCCCAATATACAGTGTCTTTCTTGAGGTGATCAAACCTTTTTGAACTATGTGGTGGTAAATGGTTGGAAAACTTCCTGTAGTTTTAAAAAATGACTGAACTGTATACATAATTAACTTGGTGAAGCATCATGTGAATTTCATTTAAATATAAAATAAAATATAAAAGAAGAGGGGGCTGGAGAGATGTTACAGGAGTGAAGTCACATGTCTTACATGTGGCTAACCCTGGTTCAATTTCTGGCATCACCGAGTCCCCCAGAAAGACAGCACTGGAGGCCTCAAGCACCACCAGGGTGGCCCAGATAATCCCCAGCATGCCAGGGGCCAAGCACCAAAGTATTCCTGTTCCCTCATAAGAAACCTGACCCAGCTGGCTGAGGATTGCTGTGGGGAGGCCCCTATGTCCCCCACGCACTGCTTGGGAAGCCCCCCACTCCAAAAGAGAAAGTAAAATTTAAAGATGATCAAATAAACAATCCTTCACCAGCAGGCCCTATACCACATTAACACTGAAGAATATTTTATTCAGAATGAAAGGGGGCGGGGGAAATCCCATTTGAAAATACACCACAGTGCAGAGAGTAAATGAATGTGTGGACAAACATATAACCCAAATGATCAAAATAATAGGCTATAGGAAATAATGACACAATTATTGGGAGTTTTCAAGTTAGGGAAACATTGAATTACACTGAATCGACCAAACAGAGCCACAGAGTAGTCTCCTGAGGGGTTTTGGGCTCTCACACATCAGAGGTACTGATCTGTTGGAAATTGCCCACCCCTGGGATTCGTCTCTAAGCGTGTGTATAGGAAGCAGAACCTTCAAATACCCACCACTGAAATATAAGAAACTTCTACAAAATCAGTGTACTTCTCTGGCACCACAAGAAAGAGAAAAGATTACTTTTTCATGTATATTTAATGTTTAAACTCTTATAAAATCCAACTATTGCAAAAAATAAAAGCTCTACTTACTCTCTTTCAATCGTATCATCCATAGACATCCTGGGCTGGTAGGAAGCCTCACTCTTCCAAGCTTTTCGAGTTGCTATTTTGGGTGCAAGTGACTTCCTGGGAGATTTGGGAGGTTGTACTGCACTGGGTTGTTCTTTCTTTAAAAAAAAATGGAGATAATAAAGGAGAACGTGAGCAAAACGGAGATGAAAGCACAGCTCTGTGGGTCTGCTTTGTCCACCTTATGCTTCCCAATTTCCAACCCCCGCCCCCCCCCCGCCACACACACACCAAATGTTCTGCTGTTCAAATTTTAGCTTCCACACAGTCAGCAGACTAAAAGGCAGCAGCACTTTAGACTATGAGACAACAACGACCAGAGGCTTGTCTGTGAGTCCTGAGGCCCATCACTGCGGGTGGTGGAAGTGGAGAAGGATTTTCTGGAGGAAACGGTTCTTGCTGACTTGTTAGCAGGTCACCCTCTCCCTGTAGCACGCCTTTGAGGTGTGTATTGCCTCGTGACTGGGCCCCACGGGATGCGGGGAGGTCAGATTCCTCAACAGTGTGGCACGCTCAATGACCACGGGGACAACAGTGGGGAAGCCAGGGGCAAAGGGGATTCCATGAGGGCACCAAAATGACACCCCCTCAGACACAGTGCCCAGACCAATGGCAAAGGTTTACGCAGGAGAGACCACGTTAGACACGCCACTGTGTCCGGGCCTACTGCTGACCTTGAACCCTGCGGGGCAGGAGGGCCCGAGAATCTGTCCTCACATGCTCCACAGCTGCCCAGCTGAGAGGGACCAGATGAGAGCCCCGTTCTCCATTCAAGCCACCAATTTGAGTGACTTTGGCCCTGGAACTGGGACACAGCAGCACAGTAGCTGCCTTGCACGTTATAGGCCCTGGACTGAGCCCCAGCGCTGGCCCAAACAAGAAGTAAAAGAAGAGTCTAGCTCCGAGGTTCCGGCGAGATCGGGAAACTCAGCTCTAGGTCCAATCCTTGACTTTACAAAGTGACTCAGAGACTTGAGAGGTTGTACTGCACACCAGGTGCCTCCATCAGCTGAAGCCTGGTTCCTATTTGTATTGGGGTGAAGAAAATACTTTGAGTCACCTCTAAAACACTCCCGGGACAAGGGAGACTTGAAAGTGATATAAAACAATAATGGATATCAGCTGTGACCCATCACATGTAACATTCTAGGACACCTAGAAGGGTCAAGACTACTGAGCTCTTCCTTTTTCGACACAGATCCAACCACAGTTACTGCAGCTCTCGGCTGAAGTGCCATACATTTGCCGGCTCTGTTTCAGACTTGCCCCCTTATCTTTCTTCATCTTCCTTTGTAAAATGATAATTACTGCCTTTTTTTTTTTAGCTTTTGGCAGGCTGCCAAATGTGACCTGCCCACACGGCAGAGTCTGGCAAACTCCCCGTGGTGTCTGTCCCCAATATCCCAAATACCAGTAACAATGATGGGTCTCATTCTCCTAACCCTGAAAGAGCCTTGAATATGGCATTTTAAAATCTCAGGGCTAATGACTCCAGAGGTACAAGGACTAATTTTTGAAATTTATTCACTCCTGGCTCTGTGTTCAGAGATCACTCCTGGCAGGCTCAGGAGACCAAACGGGGTGCTGGGACTCGAACCCAGGTTGGCCATGTGCAAGGCAAACACCCTACTGTGTGTACTATCACTCCAGCCCCTTTCTCTCTCTCTCTTTTTTTTTTGATCACACACGTTTGAAGCAGCACTTGGGCTACTTTGCAAAACACACACTCCAGCTTTCCTTATTCTAATTGTTGCAGCATACACAACCACCCAAAATTAAATCAATCAAATAAAAGTGAAGCTGAAAAGAAATGTGAACGACCAAAACCCCCCTGAGCAAGTCATGCCATCAAGGACCTGTGAACTTTGTCAGGAGATGGTCGGACCCCACCCAACCCTACCTGCATCCCCGCTATCCGAGGGAAGCAAGATTTGGGCCGTAAGGGCAGCAGCGTTGCCATTTGTGGGAAGGGGTCCACGTCTTTCCTGGGTTTCTGCTGACGAATGTGCCAGAACTTGAGCTGGGCACTGGCGATCTTGGTGGCACGCGAGTGGGTGATACAGAATTGAGGAGCCCTGGGCAGAGGGAAAACAAAGGAAAAATGAAGTGAGGAAAAAGGCCGTGCAAGTTTCACGCCTCCAAAAGGGGAGCCTGCCGGCTCACCTCAAGTCAGGCCGGGCCCCGTTTCTGGTAATTTCCACTTTTTTCCCTGTTCGGTCTTTTGGGGGTTATTGTTATTGGGACCACACCCCGCTGTTCTCTGGACTTACTCCTGCCTCTGTGCTCAGGGGTCACTCCCAGAGGGGTTCAAGTTGCCCCATGTATGCCAGGAATACAACCAGGGTCAACCGTGAGCAAGGGCCCCACCCAGTGTAATATCTCTCCAGCCATATTTTAGCAATATTTTACTCAGCTGGGTGGTGGGTGCTAAAAAGGTCCATGAGAGCATAACTTACAGCTTTCGATATATCTTAAGAAGAAACAACCTCTTCTACCAAAAACGTCCAACACGTGGAAGTAATCTGGAGGACAGACTGGGGGAGGCGGCCAGAGCAGTGACAGGAGACGGACACAGTGTGCCCGCATCTGCCAAGTGAAGGAAGCCAAGTGAGTGCCACGCTGAAAGCCTGGGTGACCTGGAAAAGGCTCACCCCAGCCATCCAGTGGCTCTCTGCCCTCGGGGGCACCCCTTTCTGAGTGAACCTCTTTCCTCGCTGAGGCCGTACTCCAAGCGGGTATCACCTCTTATCTGGATCCCACACACCCTCTGCCTTGCCTTGCCTTCTGCTTCTTCAGTGGACACTGACAACTAGTCATAAGTCCTCCTCATACCTGTGCCCTTAGCACAGCGCTGGGCTGAAAGGAAGCTCCAAAATGCTCAGAGACAATACACTATAATATGAGCTACAAGTAACTCTTTACACACACACACACACACACACACACACCACATACCACACATAGACACACACAAGACACACACACAGACACACAGACATACACTCACACAGACACACACAGACACACACACACACACACACACACACACACACACACACCAATCTGATAAACTACCCGTGAATAATCGAAATCAAATGGTGCTTATAAAGCAACCCCAGAGCTTCAGTTCTGTCCAGTTCTAGAAGGGACTGAAATTCTCCCATGTCTGTCTGTCTGTCCCTCCCATTGTTCATTGATTTGCTCGAGCGGGCCCAGTAACGCTTCCATTGTGAAACTTGTTGTTACTGTGTTTGGCATATCGAATACATCACGGGTAGCTTGCCAGGCTTTGTCGTGTGGGCAAGATACTCTCAGTAGCTTTCCAGGCTCTCCGAGAGGGGCAGAGGAATCGAACCTGGGCCGAACCTGGGTCGGCTGTGTGCAAGGCAAACGCCTTACCCACTGTGCTATTCTCCCATACAGTCCAATTATCTAAATGTTATTTACTTTAATGAAGGCCAAAGAAAGATACAATAATCTTGTTATTATAAATTCCTAAAAATGACATGTTCATAAGACAAAAAAAGATGTAACGTGACTAGACTAAGAAAAATGAAAGTCCCTAACTTTAGGGGAGAGGTGGAGACTCAATGGCCTAGTGCTTGGGGGACCAAACTCAGAGCACCCACATACAGAGCATGTGCTTAAAAGCCACTAACTCTGGGTTTCAGTTTGGGGGCAACAGCTGGTGGTGTCAGGGCTTACTCCTTCCTCTGTGCTCAGGGCTTATTCCTGGCAGAACTCAGGGGACCACACGTGGTACCAGGGATCAACTGAACCTGCATCAGCCCCATGCAAGGCAGGCAACCTGCCCACTGTACTCTCCCTGAACCAACCTTGATTCATGTCCTTTTTCTTACCAATACAGAAGTAAAGGTTTAACCACCTCCACTTGGATATTAGTTAAATGCTCCTCATTCCACTGAGATCCCTCAAGCAGTTTAAACTTGGTTAAGATCTCCATCGAAAGGTAGCGCTCTCCGTTGCTCACCAGGTAGAGTCTCTTCATCTTCTCAAGATGTCTGGAATGTGAGCAACACACAATAAGAGGCAACATTCAACAGGCCCAAAACGGTGGTCTCCAAAGCACATCTGGGGGCCAGAGTGATAGTACAATGGGTAGGGCATTTGCCTTACACGCAGCTACCCGGGTTCGATCCCTGGCATCTGATACGGTCCCCTCAGCACCGCCAGGAGTAATTCCTGAGTACAGAGCCAGGAGCAACCCCTGAGCGTTGCTGGATGTGACCCAAAAAGAAAAAAGAAAAAGAAAAAAAAAACGCTTCAGGCACTCCCAGCCAACTCTCAGTAGCTTTCTGGGACAGTAGGTCAATGCAAAGGCCCAAGAAGGTGATTGTTCCTGGACCCACTGATCTCAGGGACAACTCCAAGCCATGATGGAGCCAGAGACTCCAGAACCTCCCCCTGGTACAGCGGTGGGCAGGGATCACACCCGGGCCAGTCACATGTGAGGTACGTGTGAGGGGCATGTGAGCCCTAGAGTCATAGGGGAAGCAGGACAGGACAGTGCAGACAGCCCGTCTCTGCTGTGGGACAGACAGACAGAGCTGTGGAACGAACAGACAGACAGCCATCTCAGCTGTGGGACGGACATACAGCCTGTCTCAGCTGCGGGATGGACAGACAAACAGTCCATCTCAGATGTGGGATGAACAGGCCCAGCGGCCCTGCAAAGATCTGCCTGGCCTCGTTCCCTGTGACCTTGGTAAAATAAGCACTTTGCTGCTGGGCTGAGGGTGTTTAGAGGTTGACCTTGGAGACCCTATTGTGATCCAAATGGCCCATGGAAAGAAGGCAGGGAGGTCAGGGGTCATGGCAAAAAGATGCAAGGCTGGAGAAAAATTTGATTCCATGCTCTTGACTTTGAAAGTAAGGGGCCACAAGAACAAGCAAGCAGGTACCTGCAGAGGGTGCAAAAGGCCAGGAAAGGACTTTTTTCTTTTTCTTTCTTTCTTTTTTATTTTTTGCAGGGGGTCCTCCCAAGCAGTGCTGAGGAGGTGCGGGGGCCATACCTGTAATTTTCGGCCAACCAGGACAGTAGGTCAATGCAAAGGCCCAAGAAGGCGATTGTTCCTGAACCCACTGATCTCAGGGACAACTCCAAGCCACGATGGAGCCAGAGACTCCAGAACCTCCCCCTGGTACAGCGGCGGGCGGGGATCACACCCGGGCCAGGCACATGTGAGGTACGTGTGAGGGGCATGTGAGCCCTAACTGCAGGACTAGCCCCCAACCCCAGGGGAGGGAGTCTTCCCCTGGAGTGTCCAGAAGGAAAGCCACTCTGCAGGCCCACTTAGATTCAGCCCTGCAGCAGTAAGAGAGAACATCTGAGCTACTGGAGGCTCCAAGTTTGGGATTTTGTTGTTATTTGTTCCAGCAAGAAAATCCAGTTGCCGAAAGGATCTCGGTGAACCTGGGGAGGCTGCTTGCATGTGATTCCCCAAGTACTAATAGGGGTCTCAATGGTGGTTCTGACCTTGCCCCCACCCCACGCTCCACTCAGAACCAACCCCAGCCCCAAGTAACGGAACTCTTGCTCTCGGGACCAGTAACAACTCAGTCACTGAGACTTTGGGTGGTGCAGGAGGTAGAATAGCCATATATCAAAACTATAAATGCTATTATTGAAGACATATTATTTAAAATATTATTTTAAAAATAAGATAGAATGATTAACGTGAAGGACAGGAGAACAGTACAGTGTAGGGCACTTGCCTTGTGTATGAACAACCAGGTCCCCCAAGCCCACCAGTTGTGATCTCTGAGTCCAGAGGCAGGAGTAAGCCCCGAACACTACCAGTGTGCCCCTCACTCTGCCCACAAAAGAAGAGAATGATTCATATGAAGAGACTTAGAATTTATGTAAAGAAATCTATGTGACACAGACTCACCATTAAATCTCAGAAGAGACAGAGATTAACAAAATGCAAAAATTCACAGGTACACTGGTCTCCCAGCTGAAACTCTGGGATGCCCTCAGGAGAGGGAGGGGTGAGTCCCTGCCCTACCGAGCCCTAGTTGCATCCACACCCACATTTGCCACCATGCCAATGGCCAGACTCTACTGTCTATAGACGAAACACTGCAGAGATGCCAAACTGCCAAAACGTCCAGGTACACCGGTCTTCAGGCTGAGAATTCTGGGGTCTTCTCAGAGAGGGGGTAGACAGCCCCCCAACTCTAACCCCCATATTTCTGGAAGCCCCAGAAGCCACCCAACATCCCCCAACTGCTGCCATGTAAGTTCACAGCCCAGTTAAATATTATATAATACTGACATTCCAGTAGGAAAACACCAAATTAGATGGGAAATTAACATCAAAGCCAACTAAGCTCAATAAATAAAAACACAGAAGGCTCAACTGACAACAATAGCTCAGTAAATGTGCAGGCAAGGACTTAATGACCCCATGATAAAATGTAAGAATTTTCACAAATTTTCTTCTACTAAAGTATTTTTAATAATACCATTTGTCATTTAGTTGTAACAAGCAATATAAAATAAATTATTTTGTGCCTGCTAAGGGGGCATGCTTGGGAAATTTGGGAAAATGGAAACAATGGTGGAGGGAAGGTCACACTGGTGGTGAGATTGATCTTGGAATATTGAATGTAACAAATGTATAGTGAACCACTCTGTAAAACATGGTATTTAAATAAAGGGTGAAAATCCGTGTGAATAAAATTGATTTTATTATTATCTATTCTTCTAAAAGCATAGATTATTTCATTCTTTTTCCCTGTACTTATATCACTCAAACTAATATTCTAGGATTGGTTTCTATTTTATTTAATTATTTTGTTTTGGGGTCACACCTGGTGGTGCTAGGGACTTACTCCTGGCTCTGCACTCATGGTTCACTCCTGGTGGAGATCAGGGGACCATCTCAGGTATAACAGATTGGACCCAGGTCAGCCACATGCAAGTTGAGTGCTTTACCCTCTGTTCTGTCTCCACAGCCCAATAGGATTGGTTTATAAAACTACTGAAAAGTACAAAACAGACATGGTAACCTCTCAGTATCTGTATGGCAAACTATAATGCCCAAAAGGAGAGAGAGACAGAGAGACAGACACAGAGAGTGAGAGAAGAGAGTGAGAGAGAGAAAAATAAAGTGCCTATCATATACTAGTAGAACTGCACGAGAAAAGAACCTCTAAACCCTTCAAAAAATAGTGAGAAGAAATGAACAGACGCTTCCTCAAAAAAGAAATACAAATGGTCAAAAAGAACATGAAAAAAATTCTCTACATTGTTAATCATCAGGGAGATGCAAATCAAAACAACAATGAGATATCATCTCACACCACAGAGACTGGCACACATCAAAAAGAACAATAACAACTAGTGCTGGCATGGATGTGGGGGGAAGGGACTCGCATTGTTGGTGAAATGCTGACTGGTCCAGTCTTTTTGGAAAATATGGGCATTCCTTAAAAAACTAGAAATTGAGCTTCCATGTGACCCTGTAATACCACTTCCGGGAATATATATCGAGGGTGCAAAAAGCACAGTAGAAATGACATCTGCACCTGTATGTTCACTGCAGGACTGTTCACAATGGCCAGAATCTGGAAACAACCTGAGTTCCCGAGAACAGATGACTGGTTAAAGAAATTTTGGTACATCTACACAATGGAATACCGTGTAGCTGCTAGTAAACATGAAGTTATGAAATTTGATTTTAAGTGGATTGTAATGAAGAGTATCATGCTGAGTGAAATGCGTCAGAAAGAGAGGGTCAGACATAGGATGACTGCACTCACTTGTGGAACCTAAAATAATATGAGACTGTGACCTCAGGACAGTAGACACAAGGGCCAGGATTATTGCTCCATAGTTGAAAGCCTGTCTCATGAGCTGGGGGAGAAGGTAGCTGTGACAGAGAAGGGATCACTAAGTCAATGATGGTTGGAGGGATTGCTCGGGATGTGATATGTGTGCTGAAAGTAGATAAAGAACCAAACGTGATGGCCTCTCAGTATCTATATTGCAAACCATAATGCCCAAGAGCAGAGAGAGAATATGGGGGAAATTGTCTGCCACAGAGGCAGCAAAAGGGTCGGGATGTGGGGGGCAGATACTGGGGACATTGGTGATGGAAGATGCACACTGGTGGGGGGAATGAGTGTTCAGTTATTGTATGAATGAAACTCAAACATGAAAGCTTAGTAACTGTATCTCATGGTTATTCAATAAAATGAATATAAATAAATAAATTGCCTGTCATAGAGACAAGCTGGGGAGTGGGAAACTGGGGACATTAATGGTGAGAAATGTACACTGAGGGAGGGGTGGGTGTTGGAACATTGTATGAATGAAACCCAATCGAGAACAGCTTTGTAATTGTGTATGTCACGGTGATTCAATTAAAAAAATAATATAAAGTAGAAATACCTTTGATGTCTGTCACAGTGCTTCAGAGCCTTTAATCTTTCTATATCCATCCACAACCATAAGTATTTCTCTCCTAAAGTGCCTTTGATAAATTTCTTAAATCTCTCAAACTCCTTCCTGTTCCCGATGTCGTATGTCCCATGAGACAGACACCAGTCGGCCCTGCTTTCCGAAGGCAAGCTCTCGCTCTTCAAACTTTCCTTCTCTGCTATTCCTTCAGACTTTTGCATGGTGGTCTCAGTTGTTTCAACTGGCTCCAAATCCTGGTGAAGTTTAGGTTTGTAACACTCTTCCACCACCACCTTGGAGACGTTGGTGAAATTCACATAATTGGGGTGCCCTTGATATGGTGACCCTGCGACCTGGTAAACAGATTCTCTCAAAATATATAATATGTAAGATTTTAAAAATTCTTCACAATTTCCAAAATGCAGGGTCACGTTTTCTTCAACATCCCGTTGGGAGTCAAGGTATATTCTCAGGAGAGCTTGAGAAGTGGTGTCTTGTAGACACGTAGACCCAATATCCTCTTTGAGATCAGAAAGAGTGTTCTCAACATTCGACATGGTCTTCTTCGCCCAGGAATGGGTTCTGTTATCAAAGATGGCACTCTCTGTATTAAAAGTCACAAAGGGCAATGAGATCAGATTAGGGGTAGGAAGAGTTTAGTATTTATGAACAGGATGGCATTGAGCCAGTGTGCCAAGCTAGTCCATCACGGGGAGTGACCACACAGATTGGGCTAAAGCCACATTTAAAGGCGTCTAAAGCCACATAGCCACATTTAAAAGTGTCTAAAGCCACATTTGGGAACAGTAGTGGGGGAGTTAATGGGGAACTACCATTAGGTATTAGGCCAATTGGCCTATTAGGCCAATAGGTATTAGCCACATCTTCCTGGACATGGGAGGGAACAGCAAGATGAGAAGGAACTTATTTCACATCCCAAATATAGCTACTAATTTACTATATTTCAGCCTGACACAGAATGCCAATTGACAACATCAATATGCAACTCTAGTGAAGCATCAGAATGTGTATGTTACACTATTCTTGATACGTTAGTATTTCATGTTGTACAATAAAGTAAAATTAGCTACCAAAAACAATGAGCTCAAGAACTGGAGTCAGAGCAGCAATTTTCACAAATGTGCTACTGCATCAAAAGGATGCAATTCCTGTCACACACTCTGTCATGAAATACACAAAACAGCACAACACTCTTTCTAAAGATGGACTTTGAAGCTCCATTTTCCTCCCTCTCCCCTTTCCTTTGACTTAATTTATTTTGTGTTATTTTGTTTTGGGCCACATCTGGCAATGCTCAGGGCTTGAGCACTGGGTCACCTGGCTCTTGGCTCTTCACTCAGGGATCTCTCCTGGCAGGTCTCCAGGGACCATATGTGGTGCTGAAGATCAAAGCCAGGTCGGTCACATACAAGGCAGCAGCCTAGCCATTGTACTATCTCTCTGATCCCTAGATAGATTCATACAAGAAAAACATAGTTTTCTTTATAAGTCTTTCCCCTCTTTTGCTAACTTACTCACAGGTATTTGATTTCTTGAGACACAATTGTGAATTTTAAGAAAGTAGCAAGTGGAACTGGAGCTGGAGGGTGGGTGCAAATAAGTTTTTCTCTCCAAACACTTAGAGTTTACTGTAAGATAAAAACATCAAAAAACACAGCAGGAGAGATAGGAACAGTGGATAAGGTGCTAATCTTCGATCCGCAGTTCTCCATATGGTCCCCAAGCCTCCCCACCAGGAGTGATCCCTGAGTGCAGAGTCCCTGACCACTAGGTGTGGCCCCCAAACAAATAAACAAATCAAAAAAACCAACAACAGAAAACAAAGAAGAGAGAATCTCTGACATCACTCTTGTTCTTTCCCACTTACCAGACACAGAGGTGATGGTTGGTGTTGGAGCTTCAATTTTGTTGTAGCAAACATAAGAAGGTAGGGAAAAGGTAGCCACAGTTTGCTGGCTTTGCTTTGCTAAGGTAAACCAATCTTTGGTTTGGGTATAGGATGCCTGGAAAGAAAGAAACAGGTTTGTTTAACACGATATTAGCACACTCAACCTCCCACAATCTGGAAAAGTCATCAGACTAAACTCCGACCAGCATAGAACAGGACGTGCAAAGAAAAATTATTCCATAAACGGTAAGAATTGTGCACAGATAAACCCATTAGCAAAGAGAGTCGAGGAGAGAAAAGTTGAGATTATTTTCATGCTAGGCGACTAGAAGGAGAGGGAAAGAGAGACCCATTAAATTCTTCTCCATTTTTCAGCCAAAGGCAAGCAATCCCACCCTTTCTGGCTCACTGCTAATTCTCTCACCTGAACTCAACTGTCCGAAGGCACCTCGGTGCCTGGCTGCCCCTCGCTGGTCATTCCCATTCACAAGTTTCCCAAGGATTTCAGTCCCCCAGTCTTGTCCGACCGGGTCCACTTTAACAACTCCCTGCTAATATCACAGAGACTTGCCTCAGCGGCACTGGAAACTTCTCCAAGCAGAACTCAAGCCTAAAGAATCGGTTCTCAGAACTGTGCTTGGGCCGAAGGCTGTGGTGGCTGATTCTGTCTCCACTGCCCCGGCAGGGCCTGTAATGTCCCTGTCAAAAGTGCATCCTCGAGCACCCAGAACTCATGCCCAAACTGGCCTGCAGCGACTCACACCCCCATTTCTCCAGGAAAAGTCCCTCTGCCTGCCTCTTTCAATAGTGTCCTCACCTGCTTATCCAAGGAAGCCCCCATTGTTTGACAGCCCAGTGGGACCCTCGTGTCTCTGTCTGGATTAGCTGCCTGGTCTCAGTCTTAAAGAACATTCACAGGAGGGATGGAGGCGTGGTGCTACCTCCTGGCTTGAGTGAATCAGGTCACATAAGGAGGCCAAAAGCAAGTGAGAAAACACTGGGAGGTGCTATCTCTGTGTCACTGTCCCGCTAAGAGGGACAGTTTCCTTGGCGGATGCAAGCTTTGAAAGACATTCATTTCTTCTTGTTCTCTTCTCTCCCTGACCATGGAAAACAAGTCATCTGTGCCAGGGATGTGGCTCAAGGTGCAGAGATCCTGTTTCCTGTGTACAAAGAGGCCTTGGGTTCCATCTCCACTACATCCCCCCTTCCAGTACCTTAAACTTCCAGCCTCAGGCTGAGAGCAGCCCTGGTGGCCCTCAAGGACCACGGGTTTGTCCTCCCACCACCCCCCTAAAATATATATGTACATATATTATATTTATATTCATTTGTATATTTATATATGTATCAGTAGTTGTTTGATAATAAGTTTAAGACGAGAACTCCCAGAATGACCACCAACTGGGAGCTCTTTGGCACTATTGTGGCAACATGGGAAGATGCCATCGTTGACAACATTGACGAGAAATACAATCGACTGGTTCAGCACCTCCATGTTTGTGCGAGGAATGCCAAGAGAGAGATAGCACAAAAACACGCCTGTCTTCGAAAACTCTCGAGCTCATTCGCCAACATGGCTTGGCGCAAGCATCAGGCAACCGCAAGCGAATGTCCGAGTTCACAAAGCAGTGCAGAGAAGTGATAAAGGAAGATCTCAAAGAGAGAAGAGCAGCAATGCTGTCAGATATGGCAGAAGCCCGGAAAAGCATTTGCAATGCCCTCCTGTCCTTTGCCAACTACAAGGCCAAGATGACTGCCCTATGACATCCTGATGGATCTATCACATCTTCCAGAAGGGCAATGAAGATTATCCATGACTCCTACTCGGATCTCTTCGATAGCCATGTCCACCTGCCCACATACCAAATTCCGCAGGATGGATATGTCGTTCCCAAAGTTCTCCCTTCCGAAATCTGACATGCCATTTCATCGGTAAAGAAGCAAACAGTACCCAGCCCAGACAAAGTCAGACCCGAACACCTGAAGAACCTGCCGTCAGTACTCATCAATTCACTGACTTGGCTCTTCACACACTACCTGTCTGAATGCAAGTTTCCATCCCAGTGGAAAACCAGCAGGACTATACTACTGTACAAGAAGGGAGACATTCACAACATTGGCAACTATTGCCCGATCTGCCTGTTGTCTGTCGTCTACAAGCTGTTCACTCGAGTCATCCTGAATCGGATTGGCAGAACACTAGATGAAGGACAACCATGCGAGCAAGCTGGGTTCCGCAAAGATTCAGCACAATCAACCATATCCACACAATAACCAAGCTCATTGAGGTTTCTCAGGAGTTCAAGATGCCGCTCTGTCTAACGTTCATTGATTTAAAGAAGACCTTTGATTCTGTTGAGACGGAAGCGGTCGTTGAAACCCTAGCAAACAGGGTGTTCAAACGCAATACATCAGGATCCTCCATGTATTACAAATTCACTACCAGGATCTCACCATTCTACAAGAAAGTGATTATCCATGTCTAGAGGGGTTCGGCAGGGTGATACCATTTCACCAAAACTCTTCAGTGCCACCCTCGAGAACGTCATGCAACCACTGGAATGGGAAGGAATGGGAGTGAAGATAGATGGTCGGCAACTATACTACTTCCACTTCGCTGATGCAGATCGTTCTAATAACACCAAACATTAGCCAAGCAGCACAAATGCTTGCCGACTTTGACTTGAGTGTGGAAAGGTCGGACTACAGCTGAATCTTAGAAAGACAATGTTTGCAAGAAATGGTCTCATTCCTGAAGTTCCATTCGCTCTCAATGGAACAAACATCTCCGAATGCAACAGTTACGTATACTTAGGTCGAGAAGTCAACATGATGAATGACCTGGCACCTGAGTTGCACAGAAGGAAGAGAGCGACTTGGAATGCCTTCAAGAGCATCAAAGAAATAGCTAAGAGGATGAAGAACCTCTGATTCTGGGCACATCTCTTCAATTCCACTGTTCTTCCTGTATTAGCATATGCCTCAGAGTCCTGGGCCCTATGAAAACAGGATGAGAATGCTATTCAGGTCTCCCAAAGAGGAATTAAAAGAGCTATGCTTGGAGTATCACACTTCACTGAAATGAGAGAAAGAATCCGGAGTTCCGACCTCCGTCAACGATCAAGAATCAAGGACACTGTCTTGTTTGCCAAGGTGTCAAAAATCAGATGGGCTGGACACGTAATGAAATTTGGAGATGACCATTGGACTAGAGCCATTACCGACTGGATTCCACGGGACATCAAAAGATCATGTGGCCGCTCACCTATGAGATGATCAGACTTCTTTGTCAAGACCCTGAACAATCGGTTTGAGGCTCTTCGTGTTCCTAGAATGAGAAGACGCCATTGGGCTACACTAGCACGCGATGGGGATGAATGGAGATGTTACTGGAGCCCGCTCGAGCAAATCTATGAGTAACAGGATGTCAAGTGATCAAGTGATCAATAATTATATGTAACATTGTTTTATATATATATATAACAATGTAGCACTGTAGCACTGTCCTTGCATTGTTCATCAATTTGCTTGAGCAGACACCAGTAACGTCTCCATTGTGAGACATGTTGTTACTGTTTTTGGCATATCAAATACACCACGGGGAGCTTGCCAGGCTCTGCTGTGTAAGCGGGATACTCTCGGTAGCTTGCCAGGCTCTCTGAGAGGAACAGAGGAATCAAACCCGGGTCGGCCGCATGCAAGGCAAACGCCCTACCTGCTGTGCTATGGCTCCAGCCCAATATATAACAATAATTTTATATATATATGTATATATACCTATTACGAAGCACATTTCACTCAGAACCCATTTATTAAGCAATTACTCTTTTCCAAGCAGTATTCTTATCACTGAGGTCAAAGAACAAAGGAACTTCCAAGGAACTGACAGATAAATAGACAACAGAAGCCCTTCATATTTCATCTGGATACAAAGAAGGAAGAGAGCCAAGGACCTGGGTGGGAAAATTCAAAGGACAAATGCACATACTCTGCATGTGAAAGCCCCAGGTTCTATCCCTGGCACTGCTTGAAAACCTCTGGGTAGGGCCCAAGAAACAAGGAAGAAAGAGATACAAAAATCTGAGGCAAGCCAATCAGATTGAAAGGCATTAACTATTATTTTACTTTATACTCTAAGAGATGGGTCAACTGCTCATGTTTAGATGGCATAACTAAAAGTTCTTTTAGTTATAAAAGAACTTTTCCTATTATTATAATTACTAACTATAGGCCTGGTTAAAATGATCTAAGGGCCCAAGGAAATTTGAATATTTGATATTCCTAAGTTGTGGGGCCAGAGAGATAGTGCAGCAGGTAAGGTGCTTGTCTTGCATGCAGCCAACCCAATGCATTCCCCAGCACCCCATATGGTCTCCAAAGTGTATGATATACAAAGTCCCTTAGTGCAGATCCAGGTAGAAGCCCTGAGAACACCTAGGTGTGGGCCCCCAACCAAAAAATAAGTTAAAAAATCTGTTTAAGAAGGAATACGTAAAGTATTAAATAGGCCAGCAAAAGTAAACTAGCTTGGACTTTATTCTCTTATATTTGATTCAATTCACATGTAAGGAATCAGAATTTATTCCCCTAAATTCATTACTCCATTCAATATTTACTAACTTCTATCTCATTTAATACTTTTATGACATTCCTGACATTTCTGTGATATAAAGAAAAGACGAATACTTTTGTGGGGGATTGTGCCATACTTTGCAGAATTCAGGGTCTCACCTGAGTCTGTGCTCAGGCGTGAGCCCTGACAGTGCTTGGGAAACCCTACATGTACCAAAGATCAAAACGAAATAATCAAGATGCAAGACAAGAGTCTTAAGCCCCCATACTATCTCTCTGGACTGAAAAGAAAAAAAAGTATTACACAGAAGAAAGTGGAATGGGGATGGGAGGCAAGGGAGAAATAAAGAAAATATGTCTTTGCTACATCTCCATGCAGTATCCAGTGTCAATAATGAAATTAGCATAATTTTAAACATTTTTGCCAAGTATCACTGATAGAAATGCCAAAGCACAAAATTAAACAGAAGCTACACATGGAAACAAATGTTCAAGCAACATAGACCAAGTCTATCCATTCTAACAGATAGGGTCAATAACTTTCCTTTTGTATGACATCTTTGATCAATTGCAAGTGCCTGCCTAGAGTGCTGTGTTGAAAAGAATTTGGAACCAAGTCCAAGCTCAGCAGGGAAATGGCCACGATTGATTAGCTATGTCTGTCACGAGTGGAGACTGGGAGAACAGCAACACATGGGCTGCATACTTGCCATTCCTGATTTTTGAACTGTGGATAAGATGGGTGTTCCTAGAGCAGAGAGTTGAAAACCAGAGGCAATGATCAAACAGAAGTTTTCACTATAGCATGACTCTCCAAAGAACACTGACTCTAATCAGATCCCTACAAATGTACTCATACAACACAACATTTCTCTACTCATGGAAGACAACTCTCTTGGATAACAGTTCATCTGTAATGTAGTCTGATACGACTAATCATGCTTCCCTCACCCCCTGAAACAATATCCAGCAGCACTCAAGGGCTACTCCCAGCTCATTGCTCAAGCAAGGGCTACTCCTGGTGGTAATCATGGGGGAAAAAAGAGGTATAGGGGAACAAGTCCAGGCCTCCTCCATGAAAACCATGCACACTAACTAACTACACTCTCACTGACTCCTAAGAAAAATCAGAAAACAGGGCCGGAGCGATAGTACAGTGAGGAGGGTGTTTTCCTTACATGCAGCCGACCTGGGTTCGATCCTTGGCAACCCATATGGTTCCCTGAGTACCACCAGGAGTAATTCCTGAGTGAAGAACCAGGAGTAACCTCTGAGCATCATTGGGTATGACCCAAAAAGCCAAAAAAAAAAAAAGATGAAAAAAATAAAAGTCAGACAATGGGGGCACTGTAGCACTGTCCTCCTGTTGTTCATCGATTTGCTCAAGCAGGCCCAGTAACGTCTCCATATTGAGACTTGATGTTACTGTATTTGGCATATTGAATATGTCACGGGTAGCTTGCCAGGCTTTGCCGTGCAGGCAAGATACTCTTGGTAGCTTGCCAGGCTTTCCGAGAGGGGCAGAGGAATTGAACCTGGGTCACACCAGGTTGGCCGCATGCAAAGCAAATGCCCTACCCGCTGTGCTATCGCTCCAGCCCAGACAACGGGGGGACAACAATAATTCATCATAGTTTTAAACAGCTTACAGAATCCAAATAATAAACACTTTTCTATGAACAAGGAAAACCATGAGCATAATATGTTATCTTTGTTTCCCATAAGCTCGTGTCCATCTCTCTTTTCCTTCAAAAACATGAAGGTGGTACTTCTAATAGCATTTCAGGGGACAAGCAGGAAGGCAAATTGATAAATTAGATCTATAAGAATTTTTCGGTCTATGCTTTAGGGGTATTTGAAATAATTTCCCCTGCCTAGATGGCAAAAATAAAATAAATGTCTTTTTAAATTAATTTTATTGAAGTACCAAGTCACAACGAAACATTCCTCTTCTTACCTGGCCCACGGAAACATAGAACTTTTTCATAATTAAAATATCTTCGTCTTCAATGACTGCTGGTGGTGGAGTGGGTGGTTTTTTCTGTAGCCAGGGAGAAAAACCAGTAGCTACTGTGACATTCATGCCCGTTCCACTCCATCTTACTTGTGAGATCAATTTAGCTAGCCTGCGTAAAAAAAAGTTTGAAATAAATTTTCTATAAGGTAAAATTCAAGAGAGAAAAATCTAACATTTTCCTCAAGCCAGTCTCCCCCTCTGAGGAGCTGCTAAGATGATGTCTTACTCAAAGAACAAACCAAAGTCATAAATTTTTATATATTTTACTTTGATTTTTAAAAATCAAAGATCTAAGCAAAGGTTCCCAGAAAGCAAGAAAAAGAATGTGCACCAAAAATAGTACTTTGTTTGTTAGGACATGCTTATAACTACTTTTTAACACCCCACACATAAAGAATCACAGAGTATTTTTTAAATAAAAAGTAGGGTTGGAAAGCTACTACGGCAGGCGAGACACATACACCGTTGACCACAGTGCAATCTCCAGCAACACATGTGGTCCCCTGAGCACTGCCAGGGTGGTCTCTGAACACAGAGCCAGGAGTAAGCTCTGAGTAGTGCCGAGTGTGACCCCAACAAAAACAATCAACAAATAAGTAAGCAATAAAAGATGCACTTACTAGGTATACAAAGAAGTATTCATTCCATAAAATCTTTTGGGGAAAAGTTTGATGGGTTTTGCCAATGCTTTCATCACGTTTGTTTTGGCTTTGGGGTGGTACCTGGAACACTTGGCTACTCCCAGCTCTGTGCTCGAGAGATTTTCCAGGCAGTCCTGGGGATCAAACCTAGACCTCCCACAATCAAATCATGGTCTCAGTCTATTGAGCTATCTTCACAGCCTTATATTATCACTGAGGGGGAGGGGGGCCCCACCCAACAGTACTCAGGGTTTAGCGATCGCTCCTGGCGATCATATGGAGGGTTTGGAAGATCATACGGGATGCCAGTGATCAAACCTGCTGCATGCAAAACAAGTGCCTTACCTACTGGCCTATCGCTCTGGCCTCTCTGTCACTTTTCTACACTATAGCAAGTGGGATCCAAAGTCTAATAAGTTAAAAGGTGCACAATTTTACTAAGAAAACATGGGGGGAAGTTTTTTGTTTTTAAAGTCTAGGTATACCGAAACTCAGGCAAAAGGATTTGTAAATCTACAACTGTACCTCATGGTGCTTCACTAATAATAATAAAAAAAAGTCTAGGTAACATGGTTACAATAGTGTTGTTTATGATACTGATGTACAAAATTACTGTATCCCCCATCAAAGTATAGAACAGATTTGGAGGAGGAGGAGTGGGAGAAGGAGGAGGAAAAGGAAAAAGAGGAAGAAAAAGAGGATGAGGAGGAAGAAGAGGCGGAAGAAGAGGAAAAGGAAGAAGGGAAGAATAGGCTTTCAAAAAAACATGCACAGGCCCCATGTCTACCCCAAAAACAGGCCCCACTCATCAGGGTAGAAAAAACAGGGCTTTTCCAAGACAATGCTACCAAAACCACTCAGCCTATCCCCAAACTCCAAAGCTGAGCATTCACTATTTTACCCCCAAACTCAAAGCCAAGCATTTCCAATAGTTAACATATCTCTGACTCTGGAGCAGCTTGGCCATGCTAACATTAACTTCATCCTTGCTCCACACACCTATTCCTCAAAAAATGCACCAAGGTAGCCGCAGTAATAAGAGATCATAAAACCCTAAATCACAGTCGAAGTACTGGCAGGGCCAATGACCTTGAAAGCTTTCCTGAAACCCTTTCATGAACTCTAACCAGGAGAGTTTCTCTATGTAAGGATCATCAAGGATTACCTCGAAAATCTTTATGCCACAAAACAAGAGAACATAGTAAAAATGGATACATTTTTGGACTCCTATAACCTCCCAACTTTGAACCAAGAAGAAACAAAACAAAACAAAACAGACCAATTAATACCAGGAAAGTTGAAATGGTAATCAAAAGTCTCCCTGAAAACAAAAGCCTAGGCCCAGATGGGTTTACTAGTGAGTTCTTCAGTCTTTAAAGATAAGCTACTGACAATCTTTTTCAGGTTTTTCAGAAAACTGAATGCATATTAATTATCAGTTTTATGAGGCAATCATCATCCTTATACCAAAAGCAGACAGTCATCACAAAAAAGGGAAAGGAAAACCATATATCTATTATCCCTGGTGAACATAGATGCTAAGATCTTCAACAAAATATGTCAACTGAATCCAGTAATACATAAAAAGATCATATACCCTGATCAAGTATGAGTCATCCTAGGAATGCAAGGATGGTTTAATGCACATAATCAATGTATTATAGCATATTAATACAAGGAAAAATAAAAATAATAGTTTCCTACCAGTAGATGCAAAGAAAGTATTCAACAAAATCCAATACTCATTCATCATAAAAACCCCCAGTAAAATGGGAATTGAAGGAACTTTTCTCAACATAGTTAGAGCCATTTACCACAAGCCCACAGCAAACATCACACTCACTGGTGAAAAACTGAAAGCGTTCCCCTCTAAGATCAGGCACAAGATGAGATTGCCCGCTCTCACACTACTATTAAAAGTCCTTCCCATAGCATTTATGCAAAAAAAGAGATATTAGGGTCTGGAACTATAGAACAGCAGGTAGGGCATTTGCCTCGCATGCTGCCAACCCGGGTTCGATTCCCAGCATCCCATATGGTCCCCTGAGCACCACAAGGAGTAATTCCTGAGTGCATGATCCAGGAATAACCCCTGTGCAATGTTGGGTGTGACCCAAAAATAAAAAGGAAAGATATTAAAAGCATCCAGATAGAAAAAGAGAAGTCAACCTCTCACTATATGTGGATAACATGATATTGTTCTTAGAAAATCTGTAGGACTACACACACACACACACAAAACACACCTAGAAACAATAGACTATTTATTACAATAGTAAAGTGAGAGAAATACTTTCCATGGTTTTTCTATATGCAAATAACGAAATAGATGGCAAAATTTTTTTAAAAAATACCATTCACTGGGGCTGGAGAGATAGCACAGCGGGTAGGGCGTTTGCCTTGCATGCAACCGACTCGGGTTCAATTCCCAGCATCTCATATGGTCCCCTGAGCACTGCCAGGAGTAACTCCTGAGTGCAGAGCCAGGAGTAACCCCTGTGCATCGCCAGGTGTGATCCAAAAAGCAAAAAAAAATTACCATTCACAATTTTGCTCCAGAAAATCAAGTACCTAGGAATTAGTTTAATAGAAGGTATACAAAGAAAACTACAAAACACTACTAAAGTAAATAAAAATAGGAGAAGAGGAAATGGATGTATCCGCTGTTCACGAACTTGAAGAGTTAACACTGTTAAAATGGCAGTCTTCCCAAAGCATAAGATATTCAATGCAGTTCCTATGAAAAGACCCACTGACAGAACTTTAATACCTGTATTCAAAGTAGCAGTCGCTTTCCAGGAATGCTGGAAGTCTTTTTTTCTTGACCCATTCAATGCCTTCCTCTTGACTGAGACACTGTTAGAGATGGGGTGAAAACAAAAACAGGTGTCAAAGGAAAGCCACCTCCGGGTTCAATCATGGCCTGAACACACAACCAGAGGGACCTCAGGCCATCAGGGGGAGCCCCATGTCTGCTCCCACCTGTGCAGGTAAAATTGTCCTTTGAACTAACAGACACTGGTAAACTCGTGTTTCAGTTCATGTGTCCATCTCATTAAAACTGTTCCATTTCTGGACACGAAGTTGTATATTTCCCCATCCCCTATTTTCCTTTCCTCCGCATGGCTGTTGGATCTATGGTGATGTCCCCTTTTGCAGTTGTGATTGTGATAACTTCTATCATCTCATTCATTATGGACTAGCTTAACCAAACTGTCATTTTTAAAAGAAAGTCTACTTTTATTTATTTTAAATGATTTTTGCTATTTTCAATTTAATTGATTATAACCTTTATTTATTTTGAATTTTTCAAGTTGCCCAAAGTAGAAAGTTAGATCATTTATTCAAAACCTTTAGTCTTTTCTGATCTAAGCATTCACTATTATAAGTTTATGTATAAGGACTTATTTCAGGCATATACTACAAATTTTGTGTTGTGCCTTTTATGTAATTTTTAAAAATTTCTAATTTCCCTTGAGACTCACACTTATACCTATGTACTAAGAAGCAGATTGCTTATAGAGTTCCTCAAATATTTTCCAGGTATCCTTGTGTTGCTGATTTACAATTTAATTTTTCTATGAGCAGAGAGCATGTTTTGCATGTTTTCAAATCTTTCAGATTTGCTGTAACTTGTCTTATGGTCATTTTGGTAAATATTCTAAAGTGAATGCTGTTGTGAAGTATTGCATAAACATCAATTAGAATGACTTGGTTTTTGTATCTTGGTTAAGCTCTGTCTCTTTTTCCTATATTATTAGGTTTAATTGTCCATTTTAACTGGATTTTTATATTTCCTCTTACAGTGCTAGCAACTTTTGTTTCGTGAAGTCTGAGGTTCAGCTGTGCATATGTTATAAAGCCTTTTTTTGTGAATTGATCTTTATTCTTAGGTGATATCCCTCCTTAAACATAGTTAGATCCCTCATTCTGGTCTACCTTGTCTCAAATTAATATAGTCATTCCTGACTTCTTTAGAAAAGATAACTGGTATATCTTTCCTCCTTCTTTTATTCTTAATTATGCATTAAATTTAAGTGGTTTCTTGATAACAGAAAATAAGAACTTACTTTTTTATCCCAACTCACTCTGATTTTTTAATTGAGATATTTGAGCCATTTAAATGTAACTATTTACATATATTGTTAATGTGATGCTAATAATTATTTATATCATTTATTTTTACCACATCCTAAGTAATTTATTTTTGCTTATCAATCAACCAATCCCAACCTTACTACAGTGATTTTTGGAAAACATAGAACCTATCCATCTTGATTTCCATTTGTTCCATTTACACCTGGTGTCCTTTTTCTTTTTTTCCTTCCCTCTGTCTTTCAGCTTTGAGTGCTTTTTTATAATTTACAGTATTATTGTCTTTATATGTTTAATATGTACATTTAATGAATTGCAAAACACCTTTATATATCTATCAAACAAGGTCCTCCAATAGTTTCTATTTAAGACTTGTGTCCAAACAACTCAGGACTGGAGAAGTAGTTTAGGGATAAGGCACTTGCCTTGCACACTACAGACCATGGTTGGAATTTCTCACAGCACATTTGATCCTTAAGCACTGTCATGGGTCATTCTTGAAGAAAGAGCCAGGAATAACCACTGAGCACCACTGGGCATGGCCCCAAGCCCTCAAAAACACATAACTCAACCTCAGAAGCTCTTGAATCCCTTTTAATAATCTAGATAAATGGACTCTAAAGAACTCCAGGGAGCGTGGAAGAGTTAATGAATGTGCTTCGCATACAGGAGCCCTGCACTTGATCCTTGGAATTCCGTAGTTGCCCAAGCACTTCCAGATTGACTCCTGAACATCACACTCAAAAACTAAAAAGTAAAAATAACTCCAGGAAATTTTTAAAAATTCTATTGCTTGAATGAAGTGGAAAAAAAAAGAAACAGGGGCTGTAGGAATAGCACAGAGGGTAGGGCGTTTACCTTGGATGCGGCTGACCCAGGTTCGATTCCCAGCATTCCATATGGTCCCCTGAGCACAGCCAGGAGTAATTCCTGAGTGCATAAGCCAGGAGTAGCCCCTGTGCATCGCCAGGTATGACCCCCCCAAAAATAAACAATAAATATCAGTCACATCTAATAAAAAGAAAATTACACCCTAGATAGAAGGCTAAAGGCTAAAGGACACGAGTTGCCTAGGGAAGTCCTGGGTTGAATCCTGGCACCACGTGGTCTCAACAAGCACTGCTGGGAGAGTCCCAAGCACCGCTGGGTGCCACACACCACAACTTATGATTCAGGTCATGTCACTTGTTTTAGCATTGAAATAGTGCTATAACCATTATAGCTTTTATTTTTATTATTTATAAACAATTCAATATGTCAAAAACAGTAACAACAAGTCTCACAATGGAGACGTTACTGGTGCCCGATTGAGCAAATCGATGAACAATGGGAGGACAGTGCTACAGTGCTACTTAGCAATAAATTGGGTGGAACTAGAAAGAATTATATTTTGATTCAATGAAAGAACTGAATTTTTAAAAAATTTTTATTAGTGAAACACCATGAGGTACAGTTGTAGACTTACAAATTTTTGTGCTTGGGTTTCAGTTATACAATGATTTAGTACCCATCCCTCCACCATTGCCCATTCCCCACCTCCAATGCTCCCAGCATCCCTCCCACCCCCCACACCCCTATCCCACCCCACCTCTGTGGCAGGGCATTCCCTTTTCTTCTCTCTCTCCTTTTGGGTGCTGTGGTTTGCAAAAGAGACATTGAGTGGCTATCATGTTCGGTCTAGAGTCTACTTTCAGCAAGCATCTCTCATCCTGGGAGGGTCCACCCAACACCCTTTACTTGGTGCTCCCCTCTCTGTCTGAGCTGCCTTCTCCCTCAGCATGTGTGGCTGGCCTCCAAGCCATAGATGAACCTCCTGGTACTTATCTCGGATATTCTTGAGTGTTAATCTCCCAATTTGTTACTTTATATTCCCCAGATGAATGCAATTTTTCTATGTCTGTCCCTCTCTTTCTGACTCATTTCGCTTAGCATGATACTTTCCATGTAGTACCACTTGTACGTAAATTTTATGACTTCATCTTTTCTAACAGCTGCATAGTACTCCATTGTGTAGATTACCAAAGTTTCTTTAACCAGTCATCTGTTCTTGGGCACTGAGTTTTTTCCAGATTTTGGCGATTGTGAATAGTGCAGCAATGAAGATAGAAGTGCAGATGTAATTTTGACTGTACTTTTTTGCCTTGCCAGGATATATTCCCAGTAGTGGTATTGCTGGGTCAAATGGGAGCTCAATTTCTAATTTTTGGAGAATCGTCCATACTGTTTTCCAGAAGGGCTGAACCAGTAGGCATTCCCACCAGCAGTGAAGAAGAGTCCCTTTCTCACCACATCCACGCCAATACCAGTTGCTTTTGTTCTTTTGGATGTGGGCCAGTCTCTGTGATGTGAGATGGTATCTCATTGCTGTTTTGATCTGCATCTCCCTGATGATTAGAGATGCAGAGCATTTTTTCATGTGTCTTTTAGCCATTCGGTTTTTTTCTTTGGGAAAGTTTCTGTTCATTTCATCACCCCATTTTTTTGATGGGGCTAGATGTTTTCTTCTTGTAGAGTTCAACCAGTGCTTGTATGTCCTTGATACCAATCGTTTATCAGATGGTTTTTGGGTAAATATCCTTTCCCATTCTGTAGATATCCTTAAGAACTGAATTTATTTATTTATTTATTTATTTATTGAATCGCTGTGGGAAAAGTTACAAAGCTTTCAGGTTTAGGTCTCGGTCATGCAAATATCAATCACATTTCCCTTTACCAATACTTATTTTTCACCATGATGAACCCCAATAAACCCCCACCCCCCACCCCCTACCCCCCCATGCCTGTGGGGCAGATGAATTAACACTCTATCTACTTTGCCTAGCTTCATTGTTTCGATAAAAGTTGCACCATTATTATTTAGACTTTACCCCCCCCCAAATCAGCCATGCTGAAAAAGCATTGTGGAATGATTTGCTTTCTACAGCTGGGTTCAAGAATTAAATGATGTCGCGGCTGCGCGGTTTTGGATTTCTGCTATTTTATTTATTAACCCTGGAAGTATTTCTACTGAGAGTCAGATAATTAAGAGGTTGGTTTCTGTGCTTCTGAGGCCGGAGAGCCGCTCGTGGGGGGCAACTGGTGACCTCGGTAGGGCATGAAGGACAGGCCGGAATGCCCCCCGTCCCATGAGGTATCAGTTGCGCCCCCACCCCCGGCTCAGACCTGCTCTCCACAAGGCTCCCATGCGGCCACCATCTTTCTTTCCAGAGAGGAGAGGGCGAATGGGGCCACACCCTTTCCCCTCCAGGCAGGCAAAATGGCGCAGATTAATGCATAGTCCGTTCGCTTTTCTGCTCCAAGGAACTGAATTTTTTAATTTAAGAAGAGATAAATGTTGGATACTTTTAGCCTATTTACTAGAAAAACTGGTTTGGCATATCGAATACACAGCGGATAGCTTGCCAGGCTCTTCCGTGCGGGCGGAATACTCTCGGTAGCTTGCCAGTCTTTCCGAGAGGTATGTTTTCCACGGGATGTCAAGAGACCGCGTGGCCACCCACCTACCAGATGGTCAGACTTCTTTGTCAAGGTCATGAACGATCGGTTTGAGGCCCTCCACGTTCCCGGAGCGAAGAGATGCCATTGGGCTACACTAGCACGTGACAGGGACAAATGGAGACGTTACTGGCGCCCGCTCGAGCAAATCGACGACTAACGGGAAGTTAAGTGATTAAGTGACTAGAAAAACAGATATTTCATGATTATGCTAAGTTGCTGCAGATAACTATCCTAAAAAAAGTAGATGACGACTTGTTCTAGAACAAAGAGCTAGTATGATGAGCCGATATTAGAATTCAGGTAGGGTTTTTTTATTACCACATCCTAAGAAGATAAACTACAGAAGTTGAGAATGAGTTAAAGAAGTTAGAGTCACACCACTTACCTTGAGAGTCAGAATCTCAATCCTGAGTAGCTGGAAAGGCTAGAACCCAGGTGAAACTATTTCACTGTGTAGCCCCGATTTCTAAAATGCATCTAGAAACTTGGTGCATCTACACAGTGGAATACTATGCAGCTGTTAGGAAAGATCGATCATGATCACGATCATCCTGTTGTTTGTCAATTGCCTCGAGCAGGCACCAGTAATGTCTCTTTCGTCCTAGCCCTGAGATTTTAAAAAGTGCCATATTCAAGGCTCTTTCAGGGTTAGGAGAATGAGACTCATCATTGTTACTGGTATTTGGCATATTGGATACGTTACGGGGAGTTTGCCAGACTCTGCCATGTGGGCAGGTTACATTCGGTAGCTTGGCAGGTTGTCCAAAGTAAGAATGAGATAATAAGATGTCGCGCAGCCACAAATGTGGCCGTACACTTCCGGGAGCTGTGTTTTATAGTCTCTGGGTCTTGGCCATTGATGAGATTACACTTGGTAATGTAATCCTGTGACCCTGTAAGGTGTGACCCTGCCTACTGGAAGATGGAGGATCTGGGTGGAGGATGCTCAGCCCTGATCTGAGCAGGCTTGGAGATCTCAGCCCCAGGACCCGCATGCCTTTGTTCCTCTGCCGGTACCTTCATTCGTGTGGAGGGTGGTCTCAGAGTGGTTGTGGCTGGTTCTGGAGGTCTTAGGCTGCTGGAGCTCTGCTCAGGGCGGGGAGGGAAACTCAACCCACCCCCCTCCAAGGGGCCCCGGAGATGACAGTCAGGCGCAGGGGCAGGATACTCTGCCCTGTTTTCTTCCGGGAGCTGGGTTTTATAGTCTCTGGGTCTTGGCCATTGATGGGATTACACGGCTCTGGGGCTCAGTTAGAGGGTGTGACCCTGCCTACTGGAAGATGGAGAATCTGAGTGGAGGATACTCAGCCCCAATCTGAGCAGGCTTGGAGATCTCAGCCCCGAGACCTGCATGCCTTTGTTCCTCTGCCAGTACCTTCATGCGTGTGGAGGCTGGCCTCAGCATGGTTGTGGCTGGTTCTGGAGGTCTTCGGCTACTGGAGCTCTGCTCGGGGCAGGGAGGGAAACTCAACCCGCCCCCCTCCAAGGGGCCCAGTGAGGACAGCCAGGCGCAGGGGGCAGGAGACTCTCGTTAGGAAAGATAAACTCATGAAATTTTTTTCTTATACATGGATGGACATGGAGAGTATTATGCTAAGTGAAATGAGTCAGAAAGAGAAGGAGAGACATTAGAAGGACTTCACTCATTTGTGAAATATTAAAAAACATGAGACTGACACCCAAGGACAGTAGACACTAAGACCAGGATTATTGCTCCATTGCTGGAGGCCTGTCTATGAGCTGAGGAAGAAGGCAGCTGGGACTGAGAAGGAATAACTAAGTTAATGATGGTTGGAGGGATTGTTCGACATGGGAGAAGTGCGCTGAAAGTAGATAAAGGACCAAATGTGATGGCCTTTCAGTATCTATATTTCAAGCCATAATACCCAAAAGTAGCGAGAGAGTAGTGGGGAAAATGTCTGCCACAGAGGCAGGGGAAGGGTTGGGAAGGGGGGGCGGAACTGGGGACATTGGTGGTGGAGAATGTGCACTGGTGGAGGGATGGGTGTTCAATCATTGTATGACTGAAACTCAAACATGAAAGCTTTGTAACTGTATCTCACAGTGATTCAATAAAAAAAATAAAACTTAAAGGATGCACATATTTATACTACCCGTGAGTAACATAATATTCTGCTATTCACAGTAAATTACATGAGCCTTTTCATATTAATAATAAAAATCAATCAGACTGCTAGGTGAAAACTGAAATTAATAACATGACACAGCCACAAACAACTTGGGTGTCAAGTTAAATTTTATTTCTCCTGTCAATTTCACCTATCTCGCAGACACACACTGACAGAGACACACTTTCTTACCATGATGCTGTAGTTGACATTCACTGTCTCCGCCTCACTGGGGGCCCTCTTCTGAAAGGATTTTCCATCGCACATTCCTTTCCTTACAACATCATAGATGGGATTTCGAGGTTGGTGGGTGTATAGAATTCTTTTCAGTTGCTTTTCCAGAAGTTGTGGAGCATTATTAACTACTTCAAAAACACGATAATCTGCATTAAATCTAATCGCCTCTGGAAAGGTCTGAAAAATAGACAAATTTGCAGAACAATTAAATTTTGTTTGTTTTGGGGGCCACACCGAGCAATGGTAAGGGCTTACTCCTGCCGCTTCATTCATTCAGGAGGCTGAGTAAACCAAACCTCTTGCAAGGCAAGTTGCCCCACCCAATGTACTATCTCACCAACCCCTTTAATTTCTTATTTTTAACCAGAAACAGTTACCAAGAAGAGCAGATATTACACATATGCGCGTGCGCGCACACACATACACACAGAATTTCATGTTCTTATTATCTCTCCCTTGGGCATCCTGGAACTCCAGGGCAAGGGAACCCACTTTTCTTACATGCTAAATGGTGGCAGAAGTTCCCTTTGAAAAGGCTTCTAAGATTCTTTGGAACTGGGAAGAAATATACGTGTCCCTGAAGCCATGCTGTCCTCTTAGGGTGAGGTAGTAGGGAAGAATGAGAAAAGGGAAGAACTAACAATCTCTTTCATCCCTGAGAGCCATGAAAGCTTGTCTCTCTTTGCAAAAACAGAAGAAATTCAAGTTAATGTGTTCCTCATTTAGGAGCATTTCAACACCATTCCTCTCAGTAAGTCCAAAAAAAAAAGTGAAAGACAATAATATTTCTAAGCTTTTCTCAGTAATTGGTAGATTCTGCCAACTTTTATTTAAAGGCAGTCAGTTAATTTTCGCCAGAGTGTAGGATTTGAACACTGACTTGCCAGAAAACTCTGGGACTCACGGGAAAGCAAAACCCATTCTTGGGACACCATCTCCTCCACAAAGAAGCAGTGGCTTGGCAGCCCTTTTCCCCAGGGCACCCCAAGTCTGGAGTCAGGCCCTATTTGTGGAATACTGACCAATTTTAGGAAGCCCTAGCCCTATGGATTAATTCATATCTCATGAGTCATGTGGCAGAAGACACTGGTCTTAGTATAGCCAAGTGCTTTACTTCTCTGAGTTTACCAAGATCGCAAGATAAGCCACAGTCAAAAGTCAATAAGGAGCTGAATAAAGCAAAACTAGTGTTAGAACTCAAAGATCTGTGTGAGTGTGTGTGTGTGTGTGTGTGTGTGTGTGTGATTTAATGACAGATAATAGAGCTCTCTTGGGGCCAGAGAGATAGATAGTACAGCAGGTAGGTTGTATGCCTTGCATGCAGCCGACTTGGGTTTGAAATTCCATAGGGTCCCCCTAGCACCACCAGGAGTAATTCCTGAGTGCAGAGCCAGGAGTAAGCCTTGACCATCACCAGGTGTGGCTCAAAAACAAAACAAACAAAAAATTAGTAGTGCTCTTAAGTGTGATTATCTCCCCTTCTGTCACTGTCACCGTCCTCCCTGTTGTTCACTGATTTGCTCAAGCGGGCACCAGTAACGTCTCCATTGTGAGATTTCTTGTTACTGTTTTCGGCATATCAAATAAGCCATGGGGAGCTTGTCAGGTTCTGCCGTGCGGGCAGGGTACTCTTGGTAGGTTGCCGGGCTCTCTGAGAGGGATGGGAGAATCAAACCACGGTTGGCCGCATGCAAGGCAAATACCCTACCCGCTGTGCTATCGCTCCAGCCCAAAGTTATGCTATGCACCCAAAATGCACTCTATTTTCCATGTAATATATATCATACACTGTCCCCCAGAAGAAGAATACCACTTTGAATTTCAAAACTATTTGAATGCTCAAAACTCACACTCATAGAAACACCCATGTTTCATGGCAATGGAGTAGAGAAACCTTATCTCCCTCAAATAGTGACTTCAGGGTCAATGGAGGAAAACAACTAAAGAAATTATTCCATTAATTGATACCGGTTGATTTGCCACCAATGTACTAAAAATATAAATGATGATGGTGATAATTATAGCTTATGACTGGATCCACCACAAGCTCTTTCTCATTTCACATTTAACAACACTTATAAGCAAAGCTCAACCATTGTTCTGATGAACAGGTAGTTTCTGAGTATTTTTCTAGGTGTGAGACACAAAGCTAACCAACACCTAAATATTATCTTGTTGAATCTGGCAAAATGTTTACCAATACATTCTATAAGCTGAATAGTAATATCTCCATTTTACAAGAATATTTATTTCCTAGATGCTTAATCACTTCCTAAATAATTAAGTACATTATCAAGGTCTCGGATATGATTAGAGAGGCAATTTTTGACAGTAGTGATTGCGTTCCTTAGTACATATTCATTGATTTATGGACCTTTCTTATCATCTTTTCTTATCATCTCCCCTTCTAGGAACTTAAAGTCAGAGCTCAGAGGAAGAGCTCATGTATTCAGAGCACCTGCCTTGCAAGCACATGATAACAAGTTCAAATCTCCAGGACACAGCGGAGAAGCTTGGGAAGGCAGCGGGCCCCAAGCTGGCGGCAGCTTCGAACTAGTGATTCATTCTGCAAGACTCTCATTTTTTGGAAATTTCAGGTTAGGAGAGCGGGATAAGTTTTAGCCTCTCACTCAGAACCCTCACTAGGGCAACCTGACCATCCCAGCCACATTAGGCCAATAGTTCATTAGCCTCTACTCAATCAACATTCAACCCCCATGCACAAAAGCAATGGTGAGTTCAGAAGTCCAAACTGCAAAGGTCACAATGAGAATGTCGACCATAGCAGAGGGAGGGAATGGTGGGGGGAGAGAATTTTTAAAATGATGAGAAAAAGAAAAAAAGAGCTTCCTATAGCACTTAAAAATGCATGGAACATTGCAAACCACAACGCCCAAAAGGAGAGACAGAGAGGAGGAAGAGGAGGAGGAGGAGAAAGAGGAGAAGGAAGAGAAGGGAGAGGAGAAAAAGGAGGAGGAGGAAGAGGAGGAGGAGGAGGAGGAGCGGGGGTAAGAGGCGGAGGAGACCTGCCAGAGGCAGGGCTGGGGGGGTGGGACTGATGGGAGGGAAGCTGGGGGACAGGGAACCTGGGGGACACTGGTGGTAGTGAATGTACCCTGGTGGAGGGATGGGTGTTGGAACACTGTGTGACTGAAACCGAGTCATGAACAGCTTTGTAAGGGTCTATCTAGCAGTGATTTAATAAAATAAAATGAAGTAAATTTTTTAAAAATAGAATTCTCTGATTCTTTGTTTTGTTTTTATTTGGGCCACACCTGTTGGTGCTCAGGGCTTACTCCAGGCTCTATGTTCAGGAATCACTCCTGGTGGTGCTTAGGGGTCCATATGGTGTGCCAGAGGTTGACCCCAGTTTGGTCACACAGAAGGCCAACACCCCCTGCTGTACTATAGCTCGGGCCCTCAGCATGGAAGGTGAAGAACAGAGCCAATGCCTCCCCCCATTCATTGATGCTGACGGTCCAGGCGCCGGTGCCTGAGGAGGAGAGGAAGGGGAATGGACCCCGTTGCTTCCTCTGCTGGACACACTTCACACTCATTCCTCTTGTTCTACGAGGAAGAGGCAACAAAATACTGACAAATCATCCAAAAGGCTCCAGCAGCCACCGGCCACAGCAGGGGTCGCCTACAAAGCACAGGGAATGGCCCTGAAGCATTTCATCTGGTATGTCCATGTATTTTGGGAGACTGGGCTTGGCGAGCAGCTCCAGGAAAGGCCAGGAGGAACAGCGGAGAGAAAGAAGTGTCGGGTGGGGCGTGCTGCTCTCCTGAGAGTTCTCATGAACAGGGGTCTGAACCTTCCCCTCCACCCCCGTCTTCCCTTTTCAACCATCCATCAGCCCAGGTCTGTCCCCCAGGGTCCCTACTAAGGTCACCCCCCATGTTCCTAATCTCTTGATTATCACATAACAGGTGACTTCCTCCTACACTGGGGGCCCTTCAGAGCTTCCACCCTGCAGCCCACAGGCTCTTGGGGCTCTCTGTCCTTGAGGGTAGCTCAGGCAACAAGAAGGAGATGGAAAGCCACCATGGCCACAAGGCTTACCACACTGGAGGGAGTGGGCTTGACGGGCGGCAAGGAAGGGGAAAGCATACAGAATCCAAGTGGGCCCCCACAAAATTCAGGGGGGTCCTGTCTCCAGAGAGGGAGGATCCCAGTGAGGATTCCTATAGCACTGAGGGCTTCTTGGGCCATTTGGTGGAGGGCCAGGTGAGATGGGAGTGCGGGGCGGTGCAGGAAGGTGGGGAGCACTGAGGGGCGGGCAGCTTCTCCTCTCCCTGTCTCCCCATCTCCAGGATGTTGGGGGTGGGGGTGGGGGGGTGTGTGGACGGACGGATACAGCCGACACCATCCTCCTCTGCTCACTCTCTGCTGAGCTCCACTAACTCGTTTTGATTGATAAGGCACCCTGGCTGGCAGCTTGGATCCCTCTCGCTGATGGGAAACCAGGGAAGAGGGTTGAGCTGCCTGAGGGCAGAATCCAGGTGAGCTGCCAAGTCTGTGACTTTCAGCCGCACTTCTGGGTCTTCAGACACAGGGTCACATCCAGGCACCATCTACGTCCCAGGCACCAGTCCTTTGCTCCTACCACTGCCAAGCTTATCAACAACACCCCAGAGGTTAGTTCAATCAACGACAATAAAAGACAGAAGTTGGGGAGTAGGCAGAGAGACGGGGATAAAAGGGGCAGGTGGGGGTTAACCCACGGGCTGATTCGAGGAACTCTCAGTCCCTAACCACAGGACGCCTTGAGTTTCTCCAAGGGCAGTGGTCAGCCCACACTCCCCCCTGACTTCGTGTTCTTATTTCCAGAGTATCTCCTTTTCCAAGTTCTCTGCAAAAAATCACCCCGAAGGTGGTGAAAGCTAACTTTGTAGTACCAGTCGTCCATGTGCGAAAAATATTTTCACAGAAAAAGCAAGTGCATGAAAATATTCTTACCACAATAAATTGCTGGTTCCACATTTCTTTGAAAAGAGGAGGGAAGGGAGGTGGGGGAGAACCCCCAAACCTGTGAATAATTAGTGGCGTGCTGAAGCCGCCAGCCCAGCACCACTGAAACACACCGGGTGCCAAATTATTTAGCTGAACAGTATTTAAATTAAAAACTAATGACTAGGTTAATTTAATACATGTTCATTTCTGCTCCAACTCTGTC